AAATAGCTGCCAACTGCAAATTGCTTAAGTTAGCGTAGAGACACAAGTTTGAAAATAACATGAGGAATAAAATCTCCAACATGAAAGCAAAAATCTTTGTTGCAAATGGAGAAAGAAACACAGGAACAAGATTTGATAAGCTGACACATCTGTACATCACATATTTGCTTAAAAAACCCACAAGCTATTAAAGAATAACTAGAGTACCTTCAGGTGAATTTCATCTGGCTACAGCATTTCAATTCACATACACAGTCTCCTCTTCAACAAACAAATAAAAAGTTTAAATGCTCCCTAAACATTAGTTCCACATAAATTTAATTCTGTGCACATCTTTATTAGCTTCAGGGAAGACACTACACAATAATATTTAAATATAATCTTTTAATCTTTTGGGGTTTATTCCTGGTCTACATATTACATAAAATTCCTAAACCCACTAGAAATTCTGAAATGGGAAGAGTACTTAAATGAGAAGAAAGTATCCATAATTTGTGGGGTTGTTTTGTTTTTTTTTGCTTCAAAGATAATCAAATGCATATTTGCCCCACATATCACTAACTTCTCCAGAGAGAAAAGGACCAAAAAAGACAGAGCTTAAGTATAATCAGAAGTCTGGTGGGGTATGGGTTTTTTTGGTCAAGAATTAAGTCAGCTTTTGATTATAATAAAAAACAGATTTTCCTCAAAGAAACAACTCACAAAGCTTAAGATGAAAATTTCAAGGAATTCGTACAGTTCCTGATGTGATCTAGTACAAAATGAATCACTGTGCATGTGATAAAATGCAATCTGCACAAAGGTACATAATGAAATTATCCAGATGAAAGACTGGAAAACTGGAATACTTGGAAACCAAAGCTTTTTATAGCATTAACAAAGATTAACCAATTTCTATCATCATGCTACCTTCACATGAGTCTTACTGCAGAACTGAAGTAGCAGATCAAATCTCCATGCTCTTTCCAAAGAGGTGACACAAATAAAATTATAAATGAAAAGCCTCCCCCAACCAAAACTTACTTATAAATTTCTCATGATTCCAGCATTAGAGTAACTTTCCTCCTCACTTGATCACTCAAAATAAACCAAACACACCAAAACAACAACAACCACCAATCAAACAAAACCCCACAACAAACAAACCCTCCACCCTCAAAAAAAAACACAAAAAGAAACCCAAAAAACCCAGGTTTTGGAGCACATCATAATAAATGTTTAAACTAAATTCCTCTGTCTTTCAAAGATGAAAAAACACATGCTTTTCCTACATGCGTATGGGTTATCAACATGGCAATGAAACAAAGAGTATTTATTTGAAAGAGAAAATAAAAGTCATAGCAATGGCCACAGATAAGGTTAAAAAAAATATACTTAAGCAATTTTCTTACACTGCTCTTCTTGCTCAAAGAGGGTTTTATTCAAATTTCTCCAACAAAAAGGACTATGGTTCACTAAGAAAAGTTGTAATTCATGTGTTCGACTATAGTGCACCAACATATCCAGATAATACTTTTTTAATGTTCTTTAGAAGTCTCATTAAGACTGTAATCTTACACTTAGATTCTACTTTATTTAAAGTGCACAGACTAAAGAAACAAAATGCAGGAAATGTCATAATACGGTGGGATTTTAACATTTCCATAAAATACATGTGTATCCAAAGCACCTCATACACCATCATCAGATTCATAACACGAAAACATGCTTGGAATAACACTGGACCAAAAAAAGTCACACATGGAACATGTATTTTCCATGTTCTTATAAGAGTTCTAGCTTTGGCACCACATATAAAGTTTTGGAACCATATATGAAGTTTTCATCTAATTTAACAGGTAATTTCCAAAAAAAGCACTGATTCATCCTCTCTATTGGTTGCAACAAAGGGGAAATCAGCATAGAAAAAGCCAAAAAAAAGCAAACACACACCTACCCATACACGTAAATATGAAGATTCCATTGCTGAAGTGAGAACTATGAAAAAGTAAAACTTTTCAATAAGTCCAATCGTATAGGGCCAAACCAAAAATAAATCGGTATTTTTCTGAACTGTAACTACTGAACTGTGAGGAGAAACTGCTCCAGTGCTAAAATCTTCAGATTAACAATGACATGTATTTCTATTAATTAACAGGTATGTTAACTTTCGAGATGCTTCCATTCAAATAAGTTCTGTAACATTTACCTGTATCCAAGCGCTTTACAGGGGACTCATCATCAACCTCAGAATCTCCACATGCACTCCTTGATCTTTTCCTTGGGTGCAGAAGTGTCTCCAACCTTGGAAGGACTACAGACAAAAAGGTTTTGGTCCCTAGCTGTGGAGAAGTTGGCTGGGTTTCAGTGTTCTTTGCAGACTTTTGGGGGCTTATACTTTTCGATTTGCAGAAGAGAATGGATGTACGTCTGTTTACATCAGTTGATGACTCAGCTACAGCAGAAACAGTCGACTCATTGAGATTACTGTCAAATAAGTGTTCTGGAGTGTGTCCATTTATTTCTTTCTGAATGGAAGTGCTATATAATTCATTATCAAATTTTACTCTTTTGTAAAGCTTACTCTGCTCTGGATTGAGTTCTACTGGTTTGAGGGTTGGTGGTTCTGAATTAGTCTCCAAGTTTGAAGGAAGAGGTAATGCATCTGATGGTTCAAGTTTAGGGGGAGATTTATCTCCTGAAAAAATTATAAATAGAGTGTGATTTTTGAAAACCTGTAGTTAGAAAGTCTATTATAAAACTCACTATAAATGTGCAGCCCACCAAATAAACTGTTGTTTGGAAACAAAGCATAACATTTTAAAAACAAATCTTGTCTAGTAACAATCTGTCCTAGTTAGTAGTCCCTACTTTTATACTGGGAATGTAACAGGGATAGAAAAGTAGGTGTTTATAGTTGGTGTTAACAGTTTACACCTGGATAAATACTGTTTACTTCTCATGCAGTTATGTTAGTCTCATTAACTAAAATCTAAGAAATCTATTTTTTATTAGGAAATTGGGGTGGTGGATGCAATTACACTGCCATTCAAGTAAAATTTTGGTAATATACATTTTTATCTACTTCATCTTACCAATATTCAGCTTACCTGCCTAAGACAAATTTTATCAGATAAGCATTAAAAAAAATAAAAAGAAAGAAAAAGTATTTGTAACCTGATCTACTAGAGTGAGTTAAAACATCTTATAAAATTTGCAGGAAGGCAAGATTTTCAAAGCTGTTTCACAGTTGTGGCTACAAGCTTTATCAACCAAAAGAAAAATTAAATTTAAAAAGGGGAGGGGAAAAAAAAACCAAAATCAACCACCTCCAAAGTCTTGTAGCTCGGTTAGCCACTAGTTGGCAAATACAGACTTGACAATAAAGACTTGATAGGAGAAATCAGAAAAACCACCCTCTACCATTTTTTCTTCCTTTCTTCCCTTTTGGTTTTTTTTTTTCCTAAACATCACCATGTCCCAGTTAATTCCAGTAATTCTATGCTGGGAAGAGACAATGGAGATATAATGTTTAAAACTAGTTTCAGTTTTTCATCCCAAGTGATGGGAAAGAAAATAAGCATTCTACTGTTGCAGTATTTCCAAATACAAGTAGAAGGGCTTCCCAACCCATAAATACCAGCTCAAACTGATGTTGAAGCCTTCTTTCCACCTTCAAAAAAGAATATTTGAAAATGGAAGAAGATGCTTATTCTAGAGAAATAGTAGGACAGATATTACATTGGTCTCATATTACATGAAATTTTTAAATGTAGTTAATTTTTCTATGCTACCTGAAAAAAAAAACTGTAAAAAAACAAGGGTTATTTGAGCCCTGTATCGGTAGTGGATTAAATGCTATTTCTGTATTTGTTTCGTTCTGGCTCAGCAGTGCTTACTTGGAAATCAATCACTCCAAGCACAGAAAAAATCTTTGCCCATTTGTTTAAGGTTTAACCAAACAATAGCATAGTTCATATTAAAAATTTATCATTAAAATAAAGTGTGACTATGCTCACATTCTTAGAACTGGTAGATAATATTTCAGGAAGAAATTTAAAACGAAATTTACAGTCAGATAAGCACACTTAATGTATTACCAATTAAAAAAGGCTCCAGTTTAGAATGTCCAAGGTGACTGTCCTTTGTGAACAAGTTCTGACTTTCTTACACAAAAAGATTTTAACACAGAAAAACACTATTCAGACACTAAAATCTAAATTTCATGGGGTTATTCTGGTACTGTATTTTTCACATGATCAGAAACGGAGAACAGAATTGCAAGGAGGTAATTCACAGCTCTCCTGAAGTCAGCTCCTGTAGAGAATCTGGGCACAGGATTCTACTACTTTGCTCATCTTTCTTTATGGCAATTTTTCTTCACTCCTCTAAGTACTTTCCATTTCAGAACTGAATTTTGAACTAGTTATTATTACTCTTCACTAGATCAGAATAGTAACAATGTCAATCAACTTGGGATCCAGCTTTAATTTTTTTTTTAATTACTGTTTTTTTTAAGTGTACTGTAAATAAGAAAACAGCTACTGCTCACTTTTGGACTACTGTTTTGCACAACAGCTGTGGTGAAAGTTTGTGTCATAAAAATGCTGAGCTACAAGTAAAAAAAAAAGTCAGCGTATTATCTGCCAGAAACTACATACCTAAAGATGTATACCCAGTAACATAAAAAAAAATTAAATCATTAAAGGTTTTAATACTTAACGGAACAAGATAAATACGCTGATTCACGCAAACTTTTTCTACTACTGTCGGTCAAAACTCAAGTTAGCTTTATGTCTGAAAAGCATTTCCTTAGTCACACTAAGAATTAAACATCAAGTTGCTATTTGAATGGCAGTTAAGGACAGTCATTTTATTGACTTCATCCTTCAAAAATTTTGATGGCATCAAGCTGCACCAGACACAGACTATTTTATTTATTACCATGCTTCCACTTCCCCTTGAGCTCGTTCCTCCTCACATTCAATGCAATTAACCAAAACAAGTCTCTAATTTTCCTAAAGAAAAATAGCTTAGCTTTATAGAGAAGAGCCAATCACAAAACAAACTCAATGCGATTTTTTTTGAGACACCAAGTTTTCTTTGCTTCATTTAAAAGTAAGCAAGAAAGACCTCAGTAACTGATTTAAAAGCTAAAAATGCACATACGATATTTAACTGAAGTATAAAGTTAGGTGTCTCTAGTGTATTGCTTTTGTTGAAAACAACAGGAATTTGTCACAAGGAGATGCAGTTCTGAGACCAACTTTTTGAGGAGGAAGAGAAGCCCAAGAGGAAGGGCTGGTTACATATGGCTGAACTGATTTTACAACATGAAATTTGTTAAATCCTATCAACAGTTAATTTAAAAAAAAAAAATCAAACAAAAAGAAACCAAACCCCCACCAAAAAAAAAAAGAAAAATGAAAAGCCAAAACTACCCTCCAGCCTCCCCAGAGTCTACAGTAGAGAATAAAAAAAGCTACAAAAGACAGTACAAGCGGCTTGAGTTTTCAGCACCACTGACCTAGGCTCACATGGTTCCTAATACACACCTGAACATTTAAGTGGATTTCCAAAAGTACAACGATTTTGTCCACTCAGGCATTTGCTATTCCTTTTCATATGAGATTGTCTGTACTGTCATTTCTTAACACCCACACTTTTTAAAAGCCTTGCTACGCTGAAAATTAACGGAGGGAGGTTTTTTTTTAAAAAGATCTCTCTCACATTTTTAAAATATTTGTTGTGATTAAGTGGCTATTAGACCATTTTAAAACTACATATAATATTCAGTTATTACACTCTTTAATTCACATGATTAAAGGATCTGATTGAAGAGGCTCAGAAGAGTACTGATGGAAACATTGCTTAAAATTTTACCTTCTTCTTCTCCATCTTGTTCTAATGCTGCACTTTCTTCTTCAAAACTTCCAATACCTGATTCTATTTGAGGAGCTTGGTTGTGTTGCTGACTTAGTTTGTTGCGAATAATGCTGATTTCTTTCTTTAACAGCTTTGCTCTTTTGCTCCTTGACCCACTGGATTTCATTGCACAGGTGAGATCAAGTTTTTCTAGCAGCTCTCTCAGCTGTTCTTCCAAGGACATATGCGCTCTGTTTGCAGGATTCAGTAACCTATCCACTGAAGTCAAAATACATATAATGGAAAATGTGTTAGCGTTTCCCAGAATATTTCCCAGAATAGTAATACCAACAGGAGGGGGAAAAAATTTCACTTGGCAGAATTTGAAAATGTCATCAAAAAGATACTTAGATTACAGTCTTAGTGGCTTCACTGTTACCAGTGAAGAAATGCTGAAACGAATTCCTACTATATAATTACTGTTCTTCTTGATCAGCATTTTGCTCAAGAAAACTAAGCAGTAGAGCAAAGAATTAAAAGGTCAGAAAGAAGCCATAATTAATCCTTCCCACCCTAACAGATGATTTCTTTCTTGTGAAAGAGAAGGGCAAGATTATGGTTCTAGAAGAAATGTGTTAATTATTCTCCTTTACTGCAAAAACCTTTGAAAACTGAGGTCATTATTATGTCAAAAGAAGTCATTTAATTCCTAGTATTAAAAATGTGCTTGATTTTTTTAATTCAGTAATTTATTTAAGACTCTGCTTAAGTTTATGCACGCTGGTAGTCATGTTCCGTGACTTACAAGCATATACAACCACATGAATTAAAGTGCTCCATTTAAAAAGCTTTTTCATCTATCTTGTTAAATTAAGACTCTGGCATTGTTAAAATTAGAATCTGGATAACACCATTTCCTAATGGTAGATCTACTAGAAGAGAAACACTTGAATCTTTAAAGCAATGTTTTTAACGCAAACTGAACAGCAACAATCTCAAACATCCTCCTGGAAGGTACAAACTGTGTGCAATGAAAAACGCAACTTTTAAAAATAATCCAAAAACGTCTTACCATCTTCCCAAGAGAAAGGCTGGGGTGACTCAAGTTTAGGCCGTTCAGGTAAGTGCATTCCAGTTTCATTATTATAACCGATTCCTTCAGCATCTCGCCTAGCTTGCCTGAGAACTACACCTCCTTGATCTCTTAACCGCACTGCAGCTCTATAGAATATTGTATCTTTTGCATTGTATTTCATACAGTTATCTATGATAAGATTGAAGTCTTCTTCAAACTCACTGAGGTTTTTATAGCCTTGAGCATCTAACCGTTTTCGCATGGTAGAGAAATCCATAGGGTGTTTAATATGATCCAAATAGTCTGGAACCTTCAAATAAATATTTAAAAGATGAATGGGTAAAATTATCTTATTACAGACAAAGTAACATTAGCTATTAACTGATCCAGATTTTTTAACATATTTCCAACACTTCAAATCGAGGACTTCAAAATGTAGCTTAGAATTGCACATCTTGATATTGCAAATGCTTGCATGCCAACCAAAGTTTATGTGTTACAAGATTCCGAATCTTGGGTAACAAGCTGGAGCTCTACTAACTGATGCTGAAAATACAAGGAATTAGAATTCCGTGGTTTAATGTACCTGTATGTGTATTTCATAGAATCATAGAATGGCCTAGGCTGGAAGGGACCTTAGAGATCATTTAATCCAACCTGCCTGTCATGGGCAGGGATGCCTCTCAACTAAATCAGGCAACACATGGGGACTGCACAGGAATCAAACCCACGACCTTGGTGTTATCGGCATCACACTCAACCAACTGAGCTAACCAGCCCCCTCATTTTACACATATCCATACTCAAAAAGGCATATGTTTACACACATGTATAATATATAAGTGTATGCATTCCTATATATGCAATTTTATAGACATGTACACAAGTTTACGCATTATTTCTACACCTCTGTGTGTTGTATACGTCTGTACAAACAAAACACAAAGTCTATCTAGCTTCCCAGTGAATGATGAGAATTTCAACTGCAAATAAGAACACAGTATCCACATTTTAATTTTTAAAACACCCTTCAAGTCTGCTTTATCAAATAATCTTTACTGATATGTCCTCATGTTAGTCTGTACAGCATTTTTCAGAAATTATTTTAGTATATGAGCATAAATAGACTTTCACAGCAGCAAGCCGTAAGTGATGAAGAAAATTTTAAGAATAGAGATTAAAAGGTCTCACTGCTCCCAACTCTGCATGCAATGATTTGTTCCTCGCACTTAAGTGCCACCAGTCATACAAAAACATATGGAAATACAGCTTGAAAACATACCTCTTTAAGGTTCACTGGCTGAGCAAATATACGAGCAGAATCCTTTTCCTGCAGCTGATCCAGAACCGATCGCAGAAGTACAGTGAAAGGAGTAAGCTGAAGTTCCATTGCAACCTGCTCTATCTTAACCTGAAGATGTAAAAATTATGCAGTTGAGCATTTTTCATTAAGATACTGTTTTGAAGTTGTTTTGCAGCAATAGTAAAGTACTTCAGATATGAAACACAATATAAACACATTTAATTAAATGAGTTCAATGTTACTTTCAATATCATCAGATGGCATTTGTCTGATATCCACTTTTCAGCTGATGACTTTGTAAGAAAACTCATTCTCATCTCTTCATTGTATGCTTGACTTCAATTCCAGCTTCTAAGAACTGAAATTTGTATTTGATCTATAAATTGTTTTTACTCCATTCTTAACTGTATTTCTTCTCTATGAAGAGATGCTACATAAGAACTGCTTCATATTTTGCCAACAGTGTGTAAAGAACAAGAATTTAAAGGTAAGCTGTTCGCAATTAAATTTCAGCTGTAGTGCCACATTCCAAGTGTAAAAAGATAATTTGATGAACATTTACAGGTTACATAATACCAAAACAAAGAGTAATTTTAAAGACACAATTCTATACCAATTCCAAGAAAATAATATAAAAAACATGAATCAACAAGAAATTCAAATACTTAATCATCCTTGGGAATTTTCATTACTTTTGACAGTACTACAACTTATCTATAGCTTTATTCTCAGGCCTTTTAAAAAGTTACCAATATTGAAACAGTCTTGTTATGGTAGAAATAAATTCTTAATGAGACATTAATGTATCTATACGTAATATAAACACATAAACAAAGTATATACACACGAGTACACACACACAGAAGATGTGCATAGCTAATACTGCATGCATGTAACAAGTGACATGTGAATGTACCAAAAGGACACAAAAAATTCAAAAAAAAACCACTCAAGAGTTACAAACTATATTAGCTTGCAACGAATGTTCACAGAATGCAAGAAGTATAAATGGAATGGTGTTTTTGTATATAAGGACAATTAAAGCCTTGTAACTGCAGACATTTTGCTTTTTCATGTAAAATGAGATCCTTCTGCACTATCACTTCCTCAGATCTCTTTTCCCAGCAATGTTAACTCTAGAAATTTTTAAGACTTAGATGAAGCTTATATTTTTAATTTTTTTGGGGTGACAGAAGAATAAAAGTGCTACTTGAAATAGGCCCATGTATTGAGAAAACCTAAAAAGACCAAATTTCCTACAGTTCTTCAGAAACCAATTGTCTTTGCAAGTCTAACAGAATGGCTTATTAATCAATTTCTCCACACCACTTCAGGCAGAATGGGCAACAAGCAGGAGTTGCTGAGAGGCCACCACGCTGCTAGAAAGCTACGAACTAATTGCTGTTACTGAAACTTGGTGGGATGAATCCTATGATTGAAGCGTGGCTCTCGATGGCTACAACCTGTTCAGAAGGCACAAGTGAGGAAGGAGTGGCAAAGGTGTTGGTTGCCCTCTACATCACGAAATGGATTGAGTGTGAAGAGCTGTCTCTGAGGAAGAGCCAAGAGGAAGCAGAAAGCTGCTGGGTAAGAATGAGAGACTGAGGCCACAAAGGGAACCTTGGGGGTGGCGTTGGTGACAGGCCACCTGATCAAGGGGAGCCTACTGATGAAGATTTCTTACTCCAGCTACAGGAGGCTTCACACTCACAGGCTCTTGTCAAGCTGGTGAGCTTCAACCACCCCAACATCTGCTGGAAAAGCAGCAGGGTGAGCTGTAGGCAATCCAGGAGACTCCTGGAGCGCACAGAGGATAACTTAAGGCAGGTAACAACCAGCCCTTGCCGAGGGGATGCGATACTGGATCTGACGGTGACCAACACAAGCAAGTGAACGGGAGACATCAGAACTGAAGGCAGCCTGGACTGCAGTGATCATGCGCTGGTGGAGTTCATGGTCCTGAGGGATGTGGGTCAGGCAAAGTGTAAAGTCTGGATCCTGCCTTTTAGGAAATCAAAATTCCAGCTGCTTAGGGAGGTAATCAGGAGGACCCCCTGGGAAACTGCCCTCAGGGACAAGGAAGAAGAAAAGAGCCGGCTGATCTTTAAAGATGAGACCACCTGAGGAAGCTAAACATATGTAAGTTTATAGGACCTGACAAGATGCATCCTGGAGTCCTGAGAGAACTGGCTGATGTAGCTGCCTAGCCACTCACCGTGATATTTGAGAAGACTTGGCAGTCAGGAAAAGTCCCTGGTGACTGGGCAAAGGGAAACAGTCCACTCATTTTTGAGAATTACTGACTTGCCAGCCTCACCTCTGTGCCTGGGAAGATCATGGAACAGATCTTCCGAGAAGCTGTGCTAAGGCACACAGAGCACTGGGAGGGGATTCAATACAGCCAACACAGTTTCACCAAGGGCAAGACCTGTCTGGCCAACCTAGTGGCCCTGTAAGATGGAGTGAGTACTTCAGTGGACACAGGAGTAGCTATAGATGTCATTGATCTGGAGTTCTGAAAGGCCTTTGACACAATCCCCTGCAACATCCTTCTCTCTACATTGGAGAGAGATGGATTTGATGGGTGGACTGCTGGGTGTGTGAGGAACTGGTTGGATGGCTGCATCCAGAGGATAGTGGTCAGCAGGCTCAATGTCCAGATGGAGACCAGTGACAAGTGGTGTGCCTCAAGGGTCTGGTTTGGGACCACTCCTGTTTAATGTCTTCAGTCAATGACACAGACAGTGGGACTGAGTGCACCTGCAGCAAGTTTGCAGATGACACTAAGCTGAGTGGTGTGGCTGACACGTCTGAGGGACGGGATGCCATTCAGAGGGACGTGGCCAAGCTCAAGGGCCTGCAGGCCATGGGACAATGGTTTTAAAATAAAAAAGGGTAGATTTAGTCTATATAGAAGTAATTTAATTTTTTTTTTCAAGATGAGGTGGTGAAGCACTGGAAGACGTTGCCCAGAGAGGCTATAGATGCCCCATTCCTCGAAACATTCAAGGTCAGGCTTGATGGGGCTCTGAGCAACCTGATATAACTGAAGATGTCCCACTTTACCACAAGGAGGTTGGACTAGATTATCTCTAAAGTCCCTTCCAACTCAAAGCATTCTATGATAACTTTATATATTTAAAACATTTTGTTTGAGTGTACAAATGTGCATACGTTTCTTGATCCTACATGAAGATTAAAAGACAAACACTGCAGCCTTTCTATCGCAAAAGGTGTGTGAGAACACTTATTCAGAAAAGTTTCATCAAATGAAAAATGACCACATTTACCTGTTCTCTTTTTAATTTTTCACGCTTACGTATAAGTTCAATCAATAAACGTGCTCTTTCAAGATCATGGCGCAGCCTTTGCCAGTACTTCAATTTTTCTTTTAAGGCTTGCATTTCTTCATCATCTTCTCTCTAAGAAAAGGAACAAAAGGTTTCAATGAGATGAAAAACGCTAATCTCTTTTTACAAGCTAGTTTCACGCAAATACAGAGCGTATTCACAGGAAACTAGAAACTACTGCTTTATAGTTTGAGAACGTGGTCATACACTTCATACTGCAATAAAAGAAAACCTCTGGTCAGGGTATCTTCTACAGTTTCTCAACCACCTAGCTGAAAACAAAAGTCTATGAACTGGAAAGCAATGTTATGATGAAGGCTATTTTCATCAGAAACAGTAACATAGCAAACAGCAACCCAGCAGTATAACAAACTGCAAAAAGAGATTTAGTATTTTCATATCAAAATTGAAACCAGGTGAACATCTTCATCATAAACTCAAATCTATTTGAAACAAATGTGTGTTGTGCTCCACACAGTCCACCTCCCTCACACCCAGCGGAATCAGGACACACTTGTAACAGAACAAAATACACACAATTGGAGCACCACAATTGATGAGTATCAGCTTTTCAAAAGAGATAGATGAGGTAGGAGAGGTGGTGGGGTGGTCCTCTATGTTAGGGAGGCATATGAATGCTTAGAAATCAATCAATGTGATGTCAGGGTTGAGAGCTTATGGATTAGAATCAAAGGAGGAACCAATAAGACGGACATCATCGTGGGAGTTTGCTACAGACCTCCCAACCAGGATGAAGAAACAGACAGGATACTTTATAGGCAATTGGGCAAAGTTGCAAGGACTCTACCCCTTGTTCTTATGGGGGATTTTAACTTCCCAGACATCTGCTGGAAATACAATACAGCAGAGAGGGATCAGTCCCGGAGGTTCATAAAGTGTGTGGGAGATAATTTCCTGACACAGATGGTGAGGGAACCAACGAGGGGAAGTGCACTCCTGGACTTGCTGCTTGTTAATAGAGAAGATCTTGTGGAGGACGTAATTGTTGGAGGCTGTTTTGGACAAAGTGATCATGTAATGATAGAGTTCTCCATTTTTGGTGAAGTAAGAAGGGGGATCAGCAGAATTGCCACCTTGGACTTCCGGAGAGCTGACTTTGGACTCTTCCAGTCCATGGTTAAGAGAGTTCCTTGGGAGGCTGTTGTGGAGGGCATGGGAGCCCAGGAAGGCTGGGCGTACTTTAAGGAATAATTTTAAAGGTGCAGGAACTCACTATACCCAAGTCACAGAAGATGAGCCGAC